TGGAGCTGTGGCTCCAGTGGTAGAGTACAGTACTAGCTTTGAGTGGGAGGCGGGGGTAGGGAGGGAGCTAAGGGTCAGCACCCAGGCCCGGAGTTTAAGTCTCAATACTGGGGTGCATTAACGCACGCACGCACACGCACGCGGGCGCACACACACACACACACACACACACACACACACACACACACACATTATAGGTTAATGCTGGTGGCCTGTAATACTAGATACTCAGGAAGCTAAGGTCAGAGGCTTTCATTTTGGAGCCAGTCTGCTCATCAGTCATGAGCTAGCAAGTTGAGGGAAAGCATGAAGCCCTGAATACAAACTCCAATAGCAGCCCCAAAGTAAAATTAAATAAATATGTAAATAAAATGTAATTTGGCTCCCGTGAACTACTATGTTCTAAGTTTCCAACAGCTCCCTTATAATTTGAATTTTAGAGTATCACACATCCGTGCTTGGGCATTGTACCAGCAAGCAGTCTGGCTATTGTTAAACATTTTGAAGTGAATTCCAAAAAACAAACTTAGTGAACATTAACCTTGTGTAATGTTTTTACATCTACCTAAAGTCTTCCACAATTGTATATGACACAAGCAATGTGACTATGAAGTTGTACGAAGTATACACATATAGTCCTGTAACCCACTTTCCTTAGTTATGTATTTTTTTTTAGCTGGGTCATTTATTTGTAACTACATGCTATTTCATTGTGTCAACAGACTACAGTTTCTCTCTCCTTTCCTTCCCTTTCCCCTTCTTTCCTTTCCATTGTAGAGCTTGAACTCAGGGCCTGGCGCTGTCCCTGAGCTTTTTCACTCAAGCCTAGAGTTCTACCACTTTGAACCACAGCCACTCTTTTTGTTTTCTGGTAGTTCATTGGAGATGAGTCTCACAGACTTTCCTGCCTGGGCTAGCTTTGAACCTTGATCATGAGATCTCAGCCTCCTGAGTAGTTAGGATTACAAGTGTGAGCCACCGGCGCCAGGCTCCTGGGCTGGCTTTTAACTCTTCAGATCTCAGCCTCCTAAGTAGCTAGGATTATAGGCTTGAGCTACTGGTGCCCGGCACACTATAGTTTCTTAACAGAGGATCAACAAGTTGTATCCACATTAGTGGGTCTCTGTATTTGTTATTTCTTTATTTTTGTGCATAGAATTTTTTTTAATTTTCTGAGTGTGCCAGTATTAAGATGGGAATCTCTAGGATTCCATCTGGGTTGGATTTGAGATGTGATCCTCTAGGTCTCAGCCTGCTAAGTAACTAGAATTAAACCTGATTGAAAATAATGTTTTAAACAGGGGGTTAGGAACACAGGTTAAATAGCAAAAGCATTTTTTTTTTTAAAACCTCATAATAGACATAGATATATTTCAAATAGGAGTTCAGATTTCCACATCAATAGACTAACCAGAAAAAAATTCACTCCTGAGAAGTCCCAAATGTTTAACAATTTTGATAGACAAATTTAAATTTGTCTCCCTCATCTCTGCCTATTAAAGTTGTTCAACATAACCCTGTTAAAACTGTCATAGCAGCACTGCTGCTTCGCTCTTCAGTCATGTTCTCTGTGTGTGACAGAACACGGTGTTGGATGGATGCTTGAAGAAAAGTGATTGAAGCGTCTCAGCAGCTCTACAGAACACCGTCCAGCTAAGGCCCGCATCAGCGGCTCACGCCGGTCATCAACAGGAGGCAGAGAGCTGAAGATGGTGGTTCGAAGCCAGCCCTGCCAGGAAGCCTAGTCCTTGAGACTTTCTTGTTTTTAATCTCCATTAACCTACCAAATAAACGGGATGTGCAAATGTGGCTCCAGTGGTAGGGCGCTAGCCTTGAGCTCAGGGACGGGCTCAGGCCCTGAGTTCAAGGCCCCAGAACCAGCGCTAGAACCAAACAAAACCCCTCAGGGGGCGAGCCTCAAAGCGTGGGCCTCGCCTGAGTCTCCCAGCCGCCGCGGAGGCCGCAGCTACCTGTCAGCCTTCTCCCGGGCAGACGTCTGGCTGCAAATGTGCTTCCATACCCACGGCGACGGGAGGTGCCCCCCCACAACCGACAACCAACCTCTAAAATCAGTGAAAAGACCTGGAAGTCCCTCCTGAGGAAAGCGGGGAGAGAGGGGCCCAAAACGGGGCGAAATGGGGCTGTTCACACAGCGCTCGGCAGTCCCGGGTCGCGGAGCGCAGGGACCCCGGGAATGGCGCCCCAGAGCCGGCGCGGGGAGGCCGCAATGGCCGGGCGCTGGGCCTGCGCGGCTCTTCTCACCTCACCCTTCGCCTGTGTCCCTACAACCGATTAAACGCGACCCTCAGGCCGCCGCCGCCGCCTCCTGCACACACCCCAAGCCCATCGCCGGCCACAGTCCGTCCGCTTCAACTTTCCGCCCGGGCCCCACAACCGGAACTATAAGGGCCGGGGGACCCCAGGGAGCCCGGCGCCGTCGGCGTCGCGAGAGGAGCGGAGTCGGCTTCCGGGGCGGGAGAAGCGGGAGGGGCGGGGCTTCAGGCTGGGCGGAGAGGGGCGGGGCTCTGGCTCGGCTGGGCCACTAGGGAGCGCGCCCTCCCCAGCTCCTCTCCCCGGGCCGGGTAGGGGCGGGGTTAGGGGCGGGGCTAGGGGCAGGGTGTTGAGGCCCCACCCTCTCCTCGGACTGCCCTAGGAACACAAAGCCCTCTGGAAGGCCTTAGATAGCAGTTTATTTTATCTAGTGACACAGGACACCAGAAAATTGGAAGGGGAGCTGTGACTCAAAGTAGAAGAGCATTAGCCTTGGGAAAAAAGAGCTCAGAGACAGTGCCCACATGAGTTAAAGCTCCAGGACCAAACAGAGAGACAGACAGACAGAGAAATCCCGCATAACTCCATTCAGAAAATGTATCTGGATAGCTAAGAGGTTTTTCCTATTTTTCACAATTCACTACATAGTACCACATCATCCTGATCACCATTCGGCTAGCTGGAATCTATTTGGTGTTTTATAAATCATTCCACATGCTCCCATAGAACATGAACAGCCACACCCCCACTCACCAACGGGTTATTCTACAGTGAAGCCAATAATATCTCCATACCATCTCCATGGTCAGCTGCATCATCTTTTCAAGTATAGCTGTATATGGTTTCAATAATGCACACATGGACCACCCACAACTAAATCATTTACATAAATATAAAATGCTTTCATTCATGAAGAAAAATATCTGCTTTGCTTTAACAAATATATTCGAAATGGTCCTTATCTCCAGAGCATTTTTGAAGAAAAAAAAAGGCAGAATGGAACCATGAAACTTGGAATATACGACTAGGAATTATCTCATTTAACTAAAAAGAAAGAAACCCTACCTTTAAACATATGGAAAACTCATTAAGCCATTGAGAAATGTGTGTAAACTGCATAGGTTCTTTGGCATGTCGGCACTGGGTCTTTAACTCAGTGCCTTAGCATTATTGCTGAGCTTTTCTGCTCAAGGCTAGCATCTACCCATTGAGCCAAACATCACTGGTCCATGAGACACATGGGATTAACATTATCGGGTGTTTCACAAAAGATAGTTACACAAAGTCTCAACAGAGGCTCATCTTAGTGACTCATTTTAGTGTTCAGGTTGAAGTAAGTAGAGATAGAAAAATACTACATGTCCTGATCCCCAGAGAGAAAAGACTCAGCCTTAACATAGCAGCTGTTGTCTGCAGGCTTCTTTGCTGTTTTCTTATGCAGGTAGTGGGTCATGAATTTCCTGCTCTCACTTCACTTGTTCCTGCTCTTGGCTGGTGCTCTGCCACTTGAGCCTGACCCCAGTTCTTTCTTTTTGAGGGTTAATTAGAGATTATAACTTTCTAGTATGGAGAGCAATGAATCATTCAAACCCAGCATTGTGCCTATTTGACAAAATTGATGGCCAGGAGTTGATGTGTGAAGGTAAACTTCATTTTTTTCTTTTTCTTTTCTTTTATTTTATTTGAGAACATACTGTACAGAGGGGTTACAATTACATGGGCAGGATAATGCATACATTTCTTACCAAGCATTGCAGCCTCCTCCTTTGTTTACCCTTCACATCCCTTCCCAGCCTCCCCCCTTCCCCCCATCCAATCCTTCCCACCCTCCCCTGCCCCACACCGACATTGTAAAGCTCGTTCATTTTTTTCTATTTCATATCTGGATCTAATGTATAAGTCTGGCCTTTTTGCTTAAACTAATATATAATTTTCCCATTTCTATACATCTCTTTCCCCTTGGATTAAAGCTACCATTGCACACATTTCAGGTTTAGATGTCATTATCCTTTGTACCAGTAGTGGAGTTTGAACTCAGGGCCTTGAGCTTTTGCTTATTTCCTTGTTCAGTGCTTAAACATACAACTTGAGCCATGCTACAAGTTCCTGACTTTTGCTGACTCAGTGAATAAGTGTCTTTCATATTTGTCTATGGGGGCTGATTTGAACCTCCTTCCTGAGGAAGGACAGGGCAGTCTGGAAGATAGAATAATTGCGATGAGCCAGGACACCTGTCACGTCCTCTGAGTAAGTCCCTCTGAGTAAGTGCTCTTTCTTCTATTGATGATGGCTTTTACTTTTCAGTATACCTAATGCCTATGTATTTTATCAAATACTTTTCCCCCAAAGGAGCTATTTAATGTAATTTTCAGGTGAAATTTACTTACATATTTGCACAAAGCAAAATGGGTGTGCATAAACACTTGAATTCACTGTTACAAGAAAGTCCCCTATAAATTACATTTAGTCTGACATTTGTCTCAATAGACAGAACAACTTTCAAGTACATCTGGTTTGCTATGTCCTAGAGCTTTAGTAGTGGCCTGATCACCTCATGCAGGCATGGGCTGGGTTCCTTGGCCCTCACAGTGCACTGAACCCTTCCCTCTATAGCCAGTAAGTGCTCTTGGACAGCTCCAGGTCACTCTGTCTTTTGCCCTTACTCAGGAACCATGTGTCTGGGACATCAGATTGTACACGTAAAAAAAAGCCAGAGTATTCAACATCCATAAATTTTACAACATAAACATATATCTTTAATAAATTTAGAAGAATAAAAAGAATGCAAATTTTACAACAATCAGGACAAAAAGAAAAAGAGAGATATCCCCAGGGAGAGGGGAGGGAAGCTCTAAGGCTAGGTCGGCTTCTAAGTTGCCTTCAAACATAAATTCTGCCTCAGAATCCTCCAAAGTATCTAGCTCCTCATGAAAGATAGGATTTGCTCCAGCAAAGGCTGGAGAGGCAGATTCTAATTTCTCAGTTGGAGATTGGTTCTGCTGCAGCAGGACAGATTTGTCCAGATGTTCAGTGAGGACAGATTCACTTTCCTGAGCTGCATCTAATGTTGGGACCTCACTCATTGGTTCCCCTGAGCACAGAATGGGGATATTTTCCATCAGCCCCACGAGTGCTACTCCCTCCAGCACGCCAGGAGGAGTGCTGATTTGACCCTTTTTGAGCTGATCTGGGCTGCCTGTGAAAGTCACAGGAAGACAATCACTATTACCTTCTTCTTTCTTTGGGGTCCCTACAAGTTCAGCTCTGTTACATGTGGGGTTCAGAACCACTGTCTTATCCACAGGACTCACAACCTTTCGGGGCCTCACTGCAAATGCATCCAACCCCTCTACATGCACATGCATTGTGTAGTCCAGTGATGGCTCCAGATCCCCATCCATCAACATCCTTGACATCACCGAGGGCTTTTTCCTTGGGAGGTCAGGAGAAGCTGCTCTATGGCGGCCAAAGCCTGAGAAACAGAAAGAGGTAAAGGAGTTTGAGAGTGGATTCCGGATGTTCAGGTGGAGTTCAATTTCCATGAGGCTCTAATGGAGGAGGCTGTACAAGTTTACTTTGGACTGAACACTGATGAGAAGGTAAGGTCTTTCCCAAGAGTGGCTAAGCGCAAGTGCTTTCACCAATAGAACCAACACTGCCTGGCACATAGTACCATAAAAAGACATTCTTACAACCTGGGGGGGAAAAACGGCTCTCAGGCAATTAGGCTCATCCCTAGAGGCCCAGGCGCCATCCCTACTCACAAGCTCTGAGGTGACCACACAGGGACTTCTTCCTCTGTTTCCTGGTCTCATTCTTCCCGCTCTCCTCCAGCTCATCCAGATGAACGTGGAGATTGAGGACCAGATCTGAGGAGGGCATGTGGAGCATGGCATAGTGGGTAAGTTCTTTCACCGGGTGTCGGTTCTGGGGCTCTCGGAAATCTGCAGGATAGCAGTCCATCCACATGGTGAAGATGGAACAAAGGGTGCTGTGGGCAGATTGGTGACAAGAAGAGTGAGTGCCTGCCCTCCCTATCCTGGGCCTCCCATAGCCCCTTTCTGCAAGGCTGCTATATGCACACTTGCATGCTGGGAAGCAGGAGGAGACTCCTGCAGGCAGAATGATCTTCACCAGCCATGACTAGAACCTTCTGAAAGATAATTCTACAATATTCTCACTGTGATAGGTAACAAGAAAGAACTGATTTTGTACACACAGCCCTCCCTGTCATCCCTGAGATTCCACAACCACACCACAGCTGTGTCCTCTGCCACCACTCCAACCCCAACCCTCTGCCCCTAGTGGAAAACACAAGTGATGTGCAAATGAGAAATCTGCACTTTGAATCAGAAGCCTCAAAGACACCATTTTGAACGAAGGGGCCTTTTCTTTGTGCCACAGTCCACTTACTTCTTTATTTGTTCATCTTCCTCAGAGTTACGGCCCGGGAATCTGTACCTATGGGAGGACAAGAGGAAGTCACCTCTCAGCTTCTCCTTTTCTGCCCACACAGGACACATATGGGATGGGCTCATTCCCAGATGGGAATGGAATCTGATACATAAATAAGTGAGATACAGTTCAGTGAAAATTCTGCTAAGAGACTTATGTGCATTGGTCCAAGGTAAATGTGACAGTGCTCATGCCTCTAATCCTAGCTAATCAGGAGCATGAGATCTCAGGTGCACAGTCTGATCAGACATTAGTCAGTAAAAGTCTAAGGACATTAATTTTTAAAAGGCCAGAATTGCACCTATGGTTCAAATGCTGTCGTGGTAGCTCTGAGCACCAAAGAAACAGCACCAAGACACTGAGTTTAGGTTGAAGGACTGACACACACACAAAAACATAAAAGCTTCAGGGGTTATAAATATGTAAAGCCAACATAATGCCTCCCTGAAATCTCTGAGTTGATTCAGCCTCCAGTTCACCCACCTCCCCACACCCCAGCCTTTCCTGGGTCTACATTATTCACAGACATCCAATTTGTAATGAAACCTTATTTACTCATGGGAAATGTGATTTCCTAGAACCTCACCTAGGGGAGGGCAGAAGTCGTGTGCCACGGGCACATGCCTGTAATCCTAGCCCCTCAGTAAGCAAGCTTCTGAGGTTCCAGGAGCTTTTCTGGGAAATGTCCTGGGCAGACCACTACTAAGAAACTACGCAGGGTATGCACTTTCTTGTCTCATGCCAAGCTCCTGTGAGAAGACCCCCATGAAATCAACAGGTTCAGAGGGGTGCCAAGTATTCCACAACTCAGCCAGGCATAGCTGAACGGTACCGGTTTTGAAGGGGGAACACTCACTTTTTGAACACAATATCCAGCACTTGCTCCATTGTTGCCCACTGTCTATAATTGTGGAGGAAGTTTCCAACATAGAAGAGATCGCCTTTCTGGTAGGCTGGGACCAGGTTCATCACCAACATGTCCAGCAGGCTTGCCTCCGGGCTCCATATATCGCATGGCACATTCAGGGTCAGGGCTGACGTATTAGCACACTAAGGCGAGACAAAGAATCAGAAAAAAACCATGGAAATGAGAACACTTCCAAATAAGTAATTGTGATAGAGTAGATTGACAACTATGCAGACAGTATTATCTCAGTAAACCTAAATCACATAAGAAGGTTCTACTGTGGACCAGGTTGGGGTTAAGTAGGTTTTCTATCATGAGTATACCTTGCCTGAGTTGCCTTGTGATTTCCTAGGTTTCTTTTTGGACAAATCTCTGAGATGGTTGCTTCGTGGCTTGCCACTGATCCAGTGTCTACAGCTTTGACTGAGGCACCCATACTTCTCTTGGCTGAGACCAGAGTCTCGAGACCTGCGAATACAGCACAAGAACATGTTTCTGGCTCCGGAGTCACAGGCCAAGTGAGCTGGCTTGAGCCAACTGTGAGTTACCGTGGCCTGCTATCAGGGTTCCATGTTCTATTCCGTTGTGAAGGAGGCAGGGTCACCTCTCAGGGCCCAATGAGCTCTGCTGCTTCCTCACACAAGAAATATTCCCATCCACCCAATATTGCAATGTGTACATGTAGACAAGTTAACAGCACACCTTGTTTGTCCAATCCTCATCTGCTAGCCCTAGATTCTGGCTTGTTCTTAGCTTCCAGGAGTCCTCCTAGGTCACATTCATGCCCTATCTTTCACTATTCCTCTCATCTGGCTCAACTCATTTGATTTCTCAGGGCCTTCGGTGACTACCACATCTTTCTGGCACATATTTTTGACATCTACATCCTAGGTCATTGTTGACTTTCTGTAGCCTAATCTGTTTGTCCTTGGAACCCCTCTGTGGTGTCTTCTCCAAAAAATGCAAATACTTAGAGATGGGAAAATCAAAGATGTATTGGAAAACATTCATTACACATATAATCAGCCATTTTTACAGGTGTTCATTTTTGTAACTGAGAAAATTATTTTTTATACTTGCAATATTTCATGGAGGCAAGCAGAGAAAGGAAGAGCTGCTGCATTGTCTTCTTATGATGACTAGGACTTGTTTTACTATAGCTTCGAAGGAATATAATATTTAAGGTAGAAACTGCTCCTTTCATTTTTACAAGCTAATCGTTTATATAGTTATTTGCATCTGAATTCTTTGCTTCTGAGTCCCATTATCTTTCTTCCTCCCTCAACAAAAATGGGAAGAAGGAATTTCACACATTGCTGAGCTGTTGTCCAATCTCTGCATAGGAATTTAAGATACAATAGTTACACTGCTTTTGTGTGTGTGTGTGTGTGAGCATGTGTGTGTGTGTGTGTGTGTGTGTGTGTGTGCATGTGTGTGTGTGCATTTGTGATCTTGGACCCTTTGCCATATCCCTGAGCATTTTTCCTCGAAGCTAGTGTTCTACCACCTGAGACACAGATCTATTTTGAGCTTTTTGTAGTCAGTTGGAGATGAGAGATTCGTGGAACTTTCCGACCCAGCATGGACATTGCTCTTCTTCAGCCTCATCTTTCCTTGACTGTGGCAATGGCGGTTCAGTTTCTGGATTTCCCATCCAAGCACAGCACAAGCCATCCTCCACTGCACGTCTCTTTGTGCTCCTGGGTACAAAGGTAGAACCTCTGAAACTCAGAACCAAATTTTCTGATTAATTAGGATCACTGGCCTGAGCTACATATGAACAGCTCATTACCTGCCCTCACACATTTTTTGGGGGTTGGGGTATTGTTCGTGGGGCTTGAACTCTGGGCCTGGGCCCTGTCCTCAGCTTTTCAGCTCAAAGCTAGGGCTCTACCACCTTGAGGCACAGTACCACTTCCGGTTTTCTGGGCACTTATTCGGAGATCAGAGTCTTATGGATGTTCCTCCCCCTGCTGACTTTCAGGTGCAGTCCTCAGATCTCAGCCTCTAGAGTAGCTAGGATTATAGGCGTGGGCCACCAGCACCGAGCACATGACCGCTTTTTGCAACAGCATTTTGCGAATTTAACTATATTGACTTGAGACAAATATATCAATAATTTCCCCAATAATGTGTTTATATTCATGTTTCTTTGTTTTTTGATTTTTGGACTTTTAAAATTCTGGTTGTGGGGCCAGAACTCTGGGCCTGGGCGCTGTCCCTCAGCACTTCACCTCAAGGCGAGTGCTCTACCACTTGAGCTACAGCGTCACTTCCGGTTTTCTGGTAGTTTATTGGAGATAGGAGTCTCAAGGTCTCTCCTGCCCGGGCTGGCTTTGAACCGCGATCCTCAGATCTCAGCCTCCTGAGTAGCTAGGATTACAGGCTTGAGCCACCAGCGCCCGGCAACTATCAAATTCTTATCTCTAGCTGCAACTCAAAGTGCTAGAGTGCTAGCCTTCAGTGAAAGAACTCAGGGACAGTGGCCAGCTTTTAAGTTCAAGCAACACCATTCGGCACACATGCCCCCTACACACACACTCTTCACTCGGTCCCTTCCTAAACCCTCTGTCCTCTTCACCGAACTGGTCATTGCCAGAGTTTCTGGATTTCCCACTCCAGCATGCCAACCAACCATGTTCCCTCAGCACATGCACCTCTGCCACACTGCAGGGCCCAGGCCTCCTCTCAGAATCCATTGCCATGGGATAGAGAGCAGATGAAATTCAAGGACTCATAGAACTTGTGCTTCTAGGGCTGGGAAGGTGGCTCAGTGGTAGAGTGCTTGCCTTGCAAGCCAGAGGCCCTGGGTTCGATTCCTAAGCACCACATAAGCAAAAAGAAAAAAGCCGGAAGTGGCGCTGTGGCTTGAGTGGTAGAGTGCTAGCCTTGAGCTGAAGAGCTGAGCGACAGCGCCCAGGCCCAGAGTTCAAGCCCCACGACCGGACCCAAAAAAAAAAAAACTTGTGCTTCTAGACAGGGAGACTCAGAACTGTTCCTAACCTGGTATACAGAGACACATTGATCTATTTATGTAGAACAATGACAACATGGTCAAAATAAAATTTTTGGCTACCCCAAAAGACACCCTTTTCCAAATACTGTTAAATATTCCCTCAGATTTTCTTAAATGTTACATAAAAGTACATGTATTTACATGTTAGAGGTTGTAGCTTTTGATATAATGAACGGGAAAAGGCAGCCAAAATGACTTCTTGCAGGAAAAAATGCCTAGCCCAGGTAAGCTAATATATGCAGCAAGCACATTTCCAGCCCATTCTCCAAAAGCAGGCATGGGTCTTTTATTGTGTCATCTTGATCGCTTACCGTCCATGAAAACCCTCATGCAGACTTAGCAAATCTTCATGCAAACCCCAAAGCAAGGAACATTTTAAGAGCATAAAATTGCAGCACATATTTAACTCTTGCTTTAAAAATTTATATGTTCTCTATTTGCACAGTGCAGAATGGCTCATTGTTGGCGGAGATCTTCAAACATCAACACATTTACCCGACTAGCTGGAAAGGGGAAGTTATCCCTAGTAAGAGGTGGGGGCTTGAGATTCAAGTGGGACCAGCTTTCAAAGACACCTGTTCTGATATAACACAGAGCTTTTGTGTCTCAGCATCAAGGGTCCTATCTCGGCACAGGCTGCATCCTCCACTGCCTGCATTCCTTGTGGCTCCCTCTAGTCACCAGTTCCTTGTAAATCCAGCAGATTTGTTCCCCAGATCCAGCACACTCTGCTTCCTCCCACTCAGGCCCCATGTGCCCAGCATATCAGATTGGATGTAGAAAAGACCAAAGTCTTTTGTTTTCAAGAATTGAACAACATCATGTAAACATGGACATTTTAATACCATTAAAACAATAAATAGTAAATCATGAAAAAAAGGAAAACAGGCATTTGCCCAGGGAGGAGGGAGGCAAGATCTAACACTAGATCTTCTTCCAAGTTGCCTGCAGGCAGGAAGACTACTTCAGGGTCTACAATGGAATCTACCACCACACGTAAGACAAGATGTTCTTCCTGAGTTCTCAACTGGACACTGGTTCCATAGGGTGTCCATAGAAATCAAAACCTATTGTGGCCGTTCTACACATGAAAATAACCACATTCCATCCACACGCTTGGTGCAGTGCAGATATCTACCTGTCATCACCATGGACATCACGGGGGGCTTCGTTAGCATGGGTTCAGGAGGGACTGCATTACGCTGACAAAAATCTGGGAATGGAAATAGGTACATGAGGATTAGAGTGAACTGCAGAAGTTCTGGTGTGACTCAACTGCCATGAGGATGGAATGGGGGAAGTTGTAGCATTTGAGTTGAGACTGAACTTTGATGAGAAGACAGGGTCTTTCTCACCAGTGGCTATGGCTGAGTGTCTTGAAACAGAGAGCAGAATTCCCTGGCAGAGAACATCTATTAAAAGACACTTTGCCAAGCTGGGGTGTACTACGAGCTCCCCGCCAGTCACTACCTGGGAAGACCATCGCTAGGGGTCCTGTTTCCATCTCTATCACAAGCTCTCAGGTGGCTGCACAAGGACTACTCCCTCCCTTCCTTGTTCTGATTAGTCATGGACTCCTCCCGCTGATCTAGAAGAACTTGTAAGTGGAGGAGCAGGTCTGAGGAGGCCATGTTGAGCATTTGATTGTGCATAAGTTCATTCAGATGGTCTCTGTACTTGTGTTCATAAAAATCATTAGGGGCAAAGTCCGTCCAAATGGTGAAGACAGAACAAAGGATGCTGTGGGCAGATTGGGGACAGGGAGAGTCAGAGGCCACCTTCCCCATCCTGAGCCTCCCATAGCTCCTTTCTGCCAGGATTCCTATGCTGTGGCTGTCCATCCTATACCCAGACTTGCATGTTGGGAAGGTAGAGTGGACTCCTTCAAGCAGGATGCCCCTCACAACCTACTTCTAGAAACTTCTGAAAGACAATTCTGCAAAATTCTCACTGTGATAGGCAATGAGAAGGTGGTTTCTCCACTGGATCTGACTTTGTGCACACAGCCCTCCCTGTCATCCCTGAGAGTCCACAACCACAGCACAGCTGTGTCCTCTGCCATCCACTCACATCCCAAGCCTCAGCCCCCTGCTGCAAACCACAAGTGGTGTGCAAAGGAGAACTTTGCACTTTGAGTCGGAAGCTCCAAAGTTCCCAGTTTCAAGGACATCCCTTCCCTTGCTCCCAAAATCCACTTATATCTTAACTTGTTCATCTTCCTCACAGTTAGGATGGAGGGATCTATACCTGAGGGAAGAGAGGAGGAAGTCTCTTGTTCAGAGCTAACGGGAGGCCCATGGGGCTGGCTAATGCCCAGGTGAGAATATAAAATAGAAGGTACGGGAGATATGTCTATAATGGCCCGTGAAAATTTTAAGAGGCTTGAATGAGTGAGTCCAAAGTAAATGCTTCTGCCAGGTGCCGGTGGCTCACACCCCTAACCCGAGCCACATGGGAGGCTGAGATCTGAGCAGCACAGTTCTAACCAGACTGGGCAGGAAATAGCCAAGGAATTGTTATATCCATTAACCATCAAGAAGCCAGAAACAGGGCTGTGGCTCAAGGGATAGAGTGCTAAATTTGAGCACAACACTTCGGACAAATCCCACATCCTGAGTTCAAGTTGCAGGAGCAGCACCCAAAAACCAAAACTGAAAATAAGGAAGGCTTCAGAGGTTTGTAAATGAGCAAGCCCAATATAATCTTTGCTCAAGCCTCAGTAGATACAGGGCTAGGCCACTGCTCTGAGCCCTTCTCAGGGTAAATTACTTCAAGGCCTCCAATGCACCTTCTGAAGCCTTATTTATCAATGATCAATGGGGTTTCCTAGGGCGTCAACTAAGTAAGTCCTGAAGTTGGTGGCTCTAGTTCATGCCTTTAATCCTAGCCGCTCCACACACATGCTCATCTTCAGTAAAATAGGAAAATTCTGGAAATGCAGGTAGAGTGTCAGCCTTCTCAGAAAAGAGAAATGTGCCTCAGGGAGTAGATGGATGGGAAAATAAACTGTCCACACTTGACACACAGAATCCTGGGTGCCCTAGTCCTAAGAATCTAGGTAGGGTGTGCCCGACTATGTCTCCCTTTCCATGAGAGGACTCCAGGGAAACAAACAGGCTCATACAGGTGCCAAGTGTTCCCACCACGCAGCCAGGAAGGGCTGAGCAGCCCTGGACTTGAAGGGGGAATTGAGTGCACTTTTTGAGCAGAATAGCCAGTACTTGCTCCATTGTCCCACACAATCTGTCATTATGTGGGAAGTTTTGAATAAAGAAGAGATCACCTTTCTGGTGGGCAGAGACCAGGTTCATCACCAGCATCTCCACCAGGCCTGGATCTTGACTCCACACATTAT